GTTTCACTGTTACCCAAATATCTTATCAAATCTGTAGGTTTATATAATTTAAGAGTCTCAAATTCGGTTATTATCATTTTTTTTCTATTTCTGTTTTTTTTTCTTGGATATCAACAAGCAATAATCATTTCCTATATCAGTAAGAGTGATGCTCATACAATTAAAAGCAACATCAATCGACATCAATGTAATTTAAGTGTATGCAGCTACAATAGAAGGAACAGAAGAAGAGATAGAAAAAATATACTATAGCATTAATCAAATCGTGAAAAAGTTCAAAAAGCAAGACCCAATAATTGTCATGGGTGACTTCAACGCCAAAGTTGGCGCCAGCAAAACATCTTCTATAGTTGGACCATTTAGTCTAAAAAACCGGAACGATCGGAGAATTACGTTGGAGATCTTCGCAAAAACAAATCAATTAGTAATAAATAACAACTGGTTTAAGCTGCATCCAAGAAAACTGCACACCTGGAAATCTGTGGGAAATGATTCTGTGGGAAAGCTTGTACCAAATCAGATTGATTATATTCTAGTAAATAAGAGGTATAGGAACAGCTGTTCCAGAAATACAGAAATACCACAGATCTGAGGCTTGAAAACGCAGTCATAAAAGGCTGCAACCAGTATAAATATCTAGGAAAACATCATAGCAGCAGATGGCAGAGTTAAGATAGATGTACAAAACCGAATAACCCAAGGGAAAAAATGCATCCGAATACTGAAATTCATTACTGTGGTCTAATAAAATAAAGATGCATACCAAACTTCGCGTATACAGAGCAATTGTAGAACCAATTACCACATATGGTGCCGAATGTTGGACGATGACAAAGAATGAACGAGATAAAGTAGACGTTGTGGAAATGGATTATCTTAGAAGGTCATGTCGAGTATCGAGAATGGAAAGAATCAGGAATGAGGAAATACGAAACCGTACAGGAATAGAGATACTCATCAGATAGAATACAAGTGAAGGCAATTGCGATGGTATGGTCACGTGATGAGAATGGAGGAGGAGCGGTGGCCAAAGAAAGCCTTAATGTATGTTCCGCCAGAAAAAGGAAAAGGGGAAGACCACCAAATTCCTGGAGAAGAGAAATTACAAAAACAAAGCAATCTAGAGGCTTAGAAGAGGGAGATTGAGAGATAGGAAAAGATGGTGGCTGAAATGCGGGAAGCGGCAATCGCCGTAGGACCCCCGTTATATGATGATGATGGAACAGCTGTACATCTGTCAAAACATACCGGGGGGCAGACATAAATTCTGATCATGTACCAGTTTTTAATAATTTCAAAGTCAGAATGAATGAAGAAGGTCACAAGTAAGTCGATAAAGAAGTATGATGTTAGGAAACTGAAATGTCCAATGTTTGACTGAAGGTGAGTGAAAACCTCAATACAAAGGTGTTAAAATGCAAAAATGCAGAAACTATTAAGGACAGTCTGATCATCATACAAGAAACAGTATAAGAAATAAAAGAATAATACCTGAAAAAAAATACAGAGAAACGGAAATCGTGGATGACCGATAAAACACTTGAACTTATGGACCAGAGAAAAAAAAACAAAGAAAATCTCCAAGAATATAAGAGAATTCTTTAGAAGAAAAATGTAACAAGCCAAAGAGAAACAAAAAACTGAACAATATTATCAAATAGAGAGTATCAGAGTCAATATGATAACTTTTACGTTCATCTCAAGTTAAAGAAAATTGCTGAAAACTTCCGAAAACGCAACAGCAAAAAATAACAGATGATGAAGGCAATCTTGCATTAACCAAAGAAGAAAGTATGGACAGAATACTTGGAGAAACTTTTGAAACAAGAGCCCCATTGAAAAAGAATTAGGTCCCAAAATCCTACCAGAAGAAAGAACGGCAGCTATCAGACAAATAAAGGACGAAAATGCACCGGGACTTAATGAAATTCCTGCAGAACTGTTGAAGCTATTATATGCAGAACAAATAAAAATAATAACTGAAATATTTAATGAAATATACAAGGGAGGAAAAATACCAGTATAGTATCTCAAATCGGGGTTCTTACCATTGCAAAAAAAAACCAGAAGCAAAAGTTTGTGAAGATTATAAGACCATATGCCTAACGAGCAATCTGCTGAAGCTATTTTTAAAAGTCATCCACAAAAGAATTTACCGGAAATGCGAGGAACAATCAGTTTGGATTTGTGGACGCCATTGGTCCGAGGAAAGCTTTATTTAGCGTATAGGTATTGTTTCAGAAATATAGAGGTGCCAACTGTAATGTGTTTGCATGCCTGATAGCCCTGATGACTACAAGAAGGCTTTAGATAGAGTCAGGCATAAAGAAATGATGTAAGTGCTGAAAAGGACAGGAATTGATGAAAAACACTTAAAAATAATAACACAATCCAATCCAATCCAATTTCAATAACTTGTATTGGAATCAATCAGCGGTGCTCCGAATAGATGGAGAATATACAGATCAGATCAAAATCTTAAGGGGAGTGAGACAGGGGTGCATAATTTCACCACTAATATTTAATCTATACTTGGAGCACATTTTTGAAGAGGATCTAAGGTATATTGATGAAGGCATCTCAATAAATAGAGTCAAGCTTAATACCCTGCGGTAGGCAGATGATACAATAGTGTTTTTCAATACCATAGAAGGGCTGAAAAACTTATGGAACAAAATTACGGAAACAAGTAGAACATATGGACTGGGTATAAACACCAGCAAAAACAAGCTAATGATCATCTTGACCTCCTACTAATATTCCGCCCTTCCATCCGTCTAGTACCTTTCGCATAATGTGTTCGCTGTAGATACTAAACAGAGTTGGCGAGATTATGTATCCCTGCCTGACACCTGCCTCTGTTCTGAAATGATCAGAATGGGTATTATTTATTTTTACTGTGCACTTATTATTTTCATATAGACTTCTAATTAGTTGAATTAAGTGGTGGGGTATTCCCATTTCCGCTAGTATGGACCATAGCTGCTGCCATTTGACTTTATCGAAGGCCTTTGTGTAATACACAAACCACATACCTAAGCACAGGAGTATTAAATTCACGAGTTTTTTCGATTAGATGTCTGACATTAAGGATATGTTATCTTGTGCCTTTTCCGGGACAAATCCTGCTTGTTCTTGTGATATCTAAGGCAATAGAAAAGCTTTTATTCTTTCATGTATTATATGAAGTAGAACCTTGCTTGCATGGGGTATTGGGGTTACCGTTCTGTAGTTGGTGCAATCTAGCGGAGTTCCTTTTTTAAATATAGGGATGAAAGTAGATGTTGTCCAATCGTTGGGCCACTCTCCGGTTTCCCAAATCTTTTTGCAGATCATATGCATAACGTTTACTCAAACATCTCCAGTCACTTTTAAAACTTCTGCGGTGATCTTGTCTGCGCCAGAAGATGTTCTATTTTTTGCAACAAAAATATGGCTCCTTAAATGTTACATGTACTCAGTGCTTCTGTACGGAGTAGAAACGTGGACATTGGAGGCAAAAACTCATATCAAAACTATAGGCTTTTGAGATATGGTCATACAGATGGATCCTGAAAATACTATGGACAGACAAAGTCACCAATAAAGAAGTACTGCGAAGAATGAAGACAAGCGCAGATTTGGTCAACATCGTAAAGGCAACATCAACATAATGAGAAATCAAGGCAGATACGAGCTAGTTTAATGCAGTTGCAAGGTAAAATTAAAGGAAAAAGGGCCCCAGGACGAAGAAGAGTATCCTGGCTTGCAAACCCAAGATCGTGATATAGAAAGACCTTAATACAGCATATAGCATCCAACATAGCCAGAATGATTGCCAACGATCGGAACGAACAGGCACCCTAAGAAGAATATCTGTCCCCTCTTCTTACGTTTATCACTTATTTTTTAAACATATAATCTATAAATGATTTTCTGCTCTACTCAGTTCTACAGTACTGTATAAGTTCATTTTCTTTTGAATATACTTTGTTACAGTAAGGTTGTGTATTTAATTAGTCATGTCCAATAGTCTTTCCACATTATAATTGCACAAATGACATCTTTTTAGCTACTGTTTTGTAAATATTTTCAACTAGATATTGCACTAAATAATTCGTGTGAATAGAACCTATTAACATATTTTACTTATAGGGATATACAAGCTTCTGAGCATTATTATGATAAATATCATCTATTCCATAATTATTCTGACAAAGCTAAAAAATAACTTCACAAATTGTTGAAAAACAGTTCAAATGTTACAGTTAATTTGTTTCTCGTTCAAACAAGTCTGGTTAATTAGTTTTAATAAACTTCAACTTTCCTACAAATAACTCAACATTTGCATTCCAGGAAGAAAGTTGTACTAATTTGAAAAGGGATCATTTTAATAACCAGCACAGCTTTAATAAACATCGCTGTGCGTACCTACCTACTACAACTAATTTAGAAGTAGCTTTATTCAAAATTACTTATTTTGGAAATACTGTTGTGTGTATTACGTATCTATCCGCAAATATGTGGAGGATGTTTTGTTTTGTCTGGCTGGTAAACTAAATTAGCCGCTGTGATTGAAATGGAACGCTGGAAGACAAAGAAAAACTTTTCATACTCAAAGTATTATAATAGTTACGAAATTTTTCGGTGTGTTTAATTAACAATCTTCATCACAAAGAGTTGACTGCTTTGATACAAACAAAGCATCTCTTCTTTGTTATTAAATTACAATTATTTTATGACTGAGAACCAAACACAAAAGGGTAAGAACGGACTAGTAATACTAAAGGCAAGTCTAACGACAATAATCAAGAGTCACTTAAACTGTTAACTAAATAAAATAATAATTGGATCGTAGTGGTTCTATAGCAGATTGATCAACAACGCAGAATGAAGCTATAGCATTTAAAACTATATAATGTAATGCAAATCTATTTTTATATTATATTATAACAGTAAAAATTTTAAAATGTCGATTGTGTGATATTTTATATAATTAAGCGTATATGATAATGTATCCATGGCTTACTTATAAATCCTTAGATAAATCTTTAAAGTCTAATTTTTACACATTGTGTCTTTTATACTGAAATTATAATCTACTACCTATGTAAATGCATTGACCAAAGTTTTGTAAGTCTTTGTCAACATTATCCCTATCTAGGCGCAATTGAAAATACTGGATAGAGGATCTATGCGCATAGAGGATCTACAACATCTTATCGAAAGTACATGCTAATTACAAAAAGACCACAAAAGATACATGACCTATTGACAATCAATGTTAACGTGATAGAACAAGTAGAAAAATATCAGTACTTGGGAACTTTGATCAATGAAACCAATGATCATACTGTAGAAATAAATAGGCGAATGGAGATTGTCAGATCAGCATTTATACGAACGAAGCCACTCCTAACGTGCAAAAATCTAAATTTGGAGATCAGACTACGTACCATTCGCTGTTATATATTTTTAATATTATTTTATGGAGCTGAGACTTGGATATTAAAAAAATGCAATTTAAAAAGAATCGAGGCTTTCGAACTCTGGTTATACTGCAGAGTAATAAAAATATTATGGACTGATAAAATTACAAATAAAGAAGTACAGGAGAGGTTTGGTAAAGAAACAGAACAAATCACCACTATACATGATACTATGAATAACAAGATAGGATCTTCCGGTAGCACAAAATCGGTCGTGTTCGCGCATGCCGTCATTGGAGAGTAGAATTTGAATTCTTGTTAAAGTTAAATGGGATTTGTATGCATTCTGTGATGAAATTACTAGACGAAAATAAGTTAAGAGGTTCAATAATTACAATAATCGTACATATAAGGATATCTTCAAACTAATTATTAAAGATTATTTATTGACATATACAAAAATCTGACATTTCTAACATGCAACTCTTCAATGACGTCACGACTTATGCGCAATATCTTATCTTCTATACAAACCAGAAAACTGGAATACCTAGGCCACGTGATGAGGGGTCCAAAATATGAAATTTTGAGACTCGTAATACAGATACAATACCGCGGTAGCGGGTAGATACTCTATTACGTTCCCGGTAGAAGATAGATCTACTTCAGGGATACGACCCTGCCCACGTGAGCCATAATTATCTCCCAATCTCCTGGTACCTGGGAGAAATTATGTCCTGAACCCATTCTCCCATCTAATTACCAAAGTTTCCATTCCTATATCCTACTCTGTCCGACAGTAGCATCAGTACCAAGATAAAGCGTAAGGGAAATGATCCTGGATCGGTATATTATTGAATACTAGAGCTGCTAAATTAACCGAGCGATTACCGGTATACGTAATCCCCCAACTATTGGTCAACAGCTAAGGGTGGAAGAACCGACACGTGGTAGGGCACTTCATTGCCCTGGAGCATAAAAATTAACTCCGAAGGCGGAAGAACTAAATTAGTCAACGGCATTGAGATGTGGAAAGTCAGGGGATGAGTAAAAATTGTCATGGACCCACTAATGGATAATTTACTTACTGATCATGGAGCTTGGAATCCAAGATCCGGCAGGGGAGGACAAACAGATTTAGACAACAGGGCCTCTCAGGTCGTCAACAAGGTATATCCCTGTCAAGCAAATAACTCTATAGCCTTGAAAATCGGAACATGGAACGTAAGAAGTTTATACCAATCAGGCAAACTGGATAATGCTGTGTCGGAAATGAATGAATGCAGAATGAAAATTAATATACTGGGCCTTAGCGTTCTACAATGGTCTGAATCAGGAAAATGTAAGACCAGAAATGGAACAATGTATTATTCTGGAAACAACGATTCCAAGCACAAACGGGGAGTTGGCATTATAGTCGATAAGAATTCTCAGAAAGCTGTCTGTAACTTTGTTCCCTAGTCTGATCGAGTATTAATGCTGTCTCTAAACTCTCATTTAAAACGTAAAATAAATATAATCCAAGTATATGCACCCACTGCAGACATGGATGAAGACACCATAGAGGCCTTCTATGAACAAATCGACAATGACTTAAGACTAACTAAAAGACAAGATATAAATATTATAATGGGCGATTTGAACGCTAAAGTTGGCCAAGGAGAAGTGGAGAATTGCGTGGGGCGATATGGACTCAAGAAAAGGAATGAACGTGGCGATAGGCTTGTCGATTTCTGTGTCAATGAGGAACTCATAATTACAAATACCTTGTTCAAACTTCCTAAACGTAGACTATATACATGGAGGTCACCAGCTGACAATAACAACAAAATAGTCAGAAATCAAATAGATTATATTATCGTCAACAGAAGATATAGAAATTCTATAATATCATCTAAAACTTATCCAGGAGCGGACATATCCTCCGACCACAACCCGGTTGTTTTGTTGATGAGAGTGAAACTAAAGAAGGTCAACAGCCCTAGCACCAAGAAAATCATAGATACAAGACGTCTCAAACAAGACAACACATATGTGGAAACCAAATTTAAAATAAACGAGAGCTTAAGGAAAGTCAAAGAAGATAATGCAGAAACTGTAACTATTGACCAAAAATGGGGAAAAATTCAACATGCCCTTGTGTCAGTTGGAAAAGAACCCCTCAAACCACTTAAAGAAAAAACAAAACCTTGGATGATAGTAGAAATTCTTAAACTCATGGAAGAACGAAGAAAACATAAAGCAAAAGACCTGAGTAAATACAAAGAAATTCAGAGAAACATCAGAAAGAAAATTCGAGGATACCGGACCACCAATATTAAAAGAAGAAGTCAGCTATGCCATCAAAAACACAAAAGAGGGTAAAGCTACTGGACCAGATGATGTGCCCATCGAATTATTAAAACTCATCGATGAAGATGTTATTGATGTAATGGTTAAAACTCTTTAATCTAATATATCATACTGCCACAATCCCAGACAATGGCTGCAATCAACCTTTGTAGCAATTCCCAAAAAACCAAGTTCAACAACTTGCTCAGACCACAGAACAATAGCATTAATTAGTCACACACTTAAAACATTTTTGAAAATAATTCACAGCAGAATTGTTAAAACTCTTAAATATGAGATTAGTGACACACAATTTGGCTTTAGAAATGGTATGAGTACAAGAGATGCTTTGTTCGGCTTGAATGTGTTGGCTCATTTGATAAAGTTCAACATAAAAAGCTTATAGATATATTAAAAAGCAAAAATATTGACAGTCGTGATCTGAAAATTATATCTAATTTATACTGGAATCAAACTGCCAAGGTAAGAGTTTACAGCCAGTACACCGAAAATATCAAAATACAGAGGGGAGTCCACCAGGGTTGCATGCTGTCCCCACTACTTTTCAATGTCTACAGTGAAGTGGTATTTCAAGAAGCGCTCTCAGACTCAATAGAAGGTATATCTATCAATGGAGAAGTTTTGAATAACTTACGTTTTGCAGACGATACAGTAATAATTACGGATAACAAGAATGATTTACAGAACGTAATGCAACGCCTTAATGAACGTTAAGTAATCTACGTTTATGTTAATCTCTCCGAACTCACTTGTTAAAACTACATAAAAGTATTCTTCTTCTTCTTTACCGCTCCTGAAACTGCATTTAATTGTTTTAACATATCATTTAGTTCTTAGATATTATCGGCTATTAAAACTATTTCATCTGCGAATCTCAAGTGGTTTAAGTATGATCCGTCGACGTTGATACCCTTATTGTTCCATTCCAGTTTCTTAAAAATATCTTCTAGAGCAAGGGTAAATAGTTTGGGACAGATGGTGTCTCCTTGTCTTACTCCCCGTTGTAGTCTTATGGGATTAGTTTTTGTACTTTCGTCCAGCTTTATATGCATGGTGGCATTTTCATATATGTTTTAATTATGTTAATGTATCTTGATTCTATGCGTGCATTTTCTAGAGATTCAAGCACTGCCCATAATTCGATGGAATCGAATGCTTTATGGAAATCGACGAACGCCATATGAATTGGAACATTATACTCGGTGCATTTTTCTATCAGTGTTCTTACGGTGTCCAAGTGGTCTATCGTATTAAAATGTTTTCTGAATCCAGCCTGCTCGATAGGTTGATAGAAATCGATCTTATGTGTTAGGCACATAACTTAACTATCGAGTATCTAGCACGAATCCAAAACAGTTGCAAATTCGTAAAATATACTTTACTTATGGTTGTTTCCCACTTCTGGTTGGTTATTTATATTTATATCAGTGACAATTGCTGTAGTTTTTTGTATATTTATTTTTAGTCCATGTGGTCTGCTTATCAGTCTTAAATTTTATGTTTTCTGCAATTACAGGATCAATCATATTTAAAATGGTCTTCCATATAATATTCACCTTGATATTAAAACAAATTTTACCTGGATATATCTAGTTAGATCTCGAACTTTGAACGAACTCGCGTAAGATGGAGAGTTGGAGTGTATTATAACCTAGGCGAGCGCCACTTTTGAGTATTATTAACGACTTTTACACTTAACTTCTTGGAAACATTTATCATCCTGTTAAACTTTAGGAGAAGATGAGAACCTCCAGTGCAATTGGCTAGTAAAAAGGATATGCAGGTATACTTGTAAAAGTAAATTAATTTTATCAGATATACGCGTTAGGTTGTAGGCGTTTATTAAAATCATACAAAGGCTACCTTTACCAATGATATGGTAGTGGAATATAATCATGAAGAAGCTGCGGAAAAATTACAAACGTGTATTGATCAAATTTTCACCTGGACTCATGAATGGTGTATACAGTTAAATGAGAACAAATTCGTGTATATCAACGTTAAAAAAGAAAGATAATTACTTACCTGTTAAAAGGTATGTAATTAAATGAATGGGAAGAATATTATACGAAACTGCTGAAAGAGGATAGAGTAGAGTACAGATGGGACAAGATAAGGGAATTAATAGATAACAGAGACGAAAGACAGGAAATCCCTATAATAACATTATCTGAATTAACGGAAACCATAGAGCTGGTTAAATATGGGCCGACTGCACTTTTAGAATTAGTAGTAGACCTTTTTAATAAATGTATGTGTGGAGACCAGGAAATTTCTAAAGATTGAAATAAATCTTATATAAGCTTCATATGTAAGAGAAAAAATAAAAGAGACTGTTCCAATTATAGAGGTATTAGTGTGACGAGCTCTGTGGGCCGGTTGTACGGCAGAATATTAAAGAAGAGGGTTGAAAGACAGATACAAGATATTGAAGAACAAAGCGGCTTTCGTAGCGGGAGATCCTGCCTTGATAATATATTTATCCTACGACCAATAATTGAAAAGCATGTCAAAAGAAGTAGAGAGACCCATTTGGTATTTATAGACCTTGAGAAAGCATATGATAGTGTCCCGTTAAAGAAAATGTTTGAGGTCCTTGAAAGGTCCGGATTGTATTCGACGTATATCCGAGCGATATATAAATTGTACGAAAATGCAGTTAGTTGTGTAAAAATTGGAACCAGAACTTCAGTTGAATTTAAAGTCACTAGAGGCCTAAAGCAAGGATGTTGTTTGTCACTGACACTCTTTAAAATATACGTCCAAGAAGCATTGAGGAATTGAAGAAAGGAATGTAGATTTTTGGGCATCGAAGTGGGACAAGAAACTCTGTATACATTGTTGCTTGCAGATGATCAGGTGGTGGTTGCAACCGATGAGGAAGATATAGATTATATGAATCGAAAATTATTTGAGCAATATGCCAAATGGGGGCTTACTGTAAACATAAGCAAAACAGAATATTTAAAAATTGGAGGAAATACCACAGATCTGAGGCTTGAAAACGCAGTCATAAAAGGTTGCAACCAGTATAAATATCTATGAAGCATCATATCAGCAGATGGCAGAGTTAAGATAGATGTACAAAACCGAATAACCCAAGGGAAAAAATGCATCCGAATACTGAATTCATTACCGTGGTCTAATAAAATAAAGATGCATACCAGACTTCGTGTATACAGAGCAATTGTAGAACCGATTACCACACATGGTGCCGAATGTTGGACGATGACAAAGAATGAACAAGATAAA